AACACAGCAACGTACAGTACTAGAACGTACACTACAACAACGTACAACACAGCAACGTACAGTACTAGAACGTACACTACAGCAACATACAATACAACAACGTACAATAGTATAGGTATAAAGCCTCTCACCATTCCTTTTGTATGTACATGCTGAGAATATTATGAAAAGTACAGTTAGCGAAAAGTTTCAACCTACTTACGTTTGAAAGTAAACATGCCCAAGACTCAGATATGCAGACAACACAGTTCTCTTTTCCAACAGAGCACAGAGCTTGATTCTAAAGGTTAAGAAGTACAGCGAAGAAGAAAATCCGTTTCTGAATTGAATTTCAAAACACAAAATGTCTACGATATGTGGAGCACAACAGCAACGTGTTAAAATCGATAACAAGACTGAAAATGTCACAGCTTTGTAAATATTTGATATCAATAGTGAATAGCAGTGGCGACTGTACAAAACAATTCAGAACAAGCTGTGTAGAGGCTAAACAGCATAAACAAATAAATTTACAGCAACTGCATGCCGGTTAAAGTTAACATGCTGAAATCAGGTCTCCTTCCTGCGGCAAATTACGGTTGCAAGTCATGATCTTTTACTCAGTCTTTGGGGGAAAAGATCGGAGATTTTGAACTGAAATTCTACAAAAAAAAAAAAAACATAAATTCTTAGAGTTCTGTGGACTAAGATCCCTCCAGGGATGAGAACTCCAAAACAATGAATGAAACGATTTTCAATGGAGTAGCGGCTGGTCTGATCCCCAGAGCAAGATTTAATAGCAGTGAATAAGATATCGCTTTCGCCTTCGTTGTCAGAACTGTTAAAATGTAGAGAGTGGTTAAAGAGCAATATAACCAATTCACACAAGACTATTTTTCTTTGTGTGCGTCTATTCCATTACTATACATTTTCTAGACATATTTATGTCGTTTTTAGCACCTCTACCTACAGACAGACATTGTTCCGTGTCCTCATTGGCCCTGATCCTTTCGGGCACATATTGGGCTTATAAATCACCTGCGGTCTCACAGACAATAATTTATCGTTTGACAACAGATGAAGGCAAGAGTGGTGCTCATCTGTGATGGACGAACAACAACGTCTGGTCGACAGCAAGGAATCGAGATCTTCATACAAACAAACTAGACCTATAAAACGGATATGCACACAAAACTCAGACTCTGAAACAAGATTAAAGTTTGGAAGTCGACGAACACCCAAAACTTTCCTCTGGAGCTTACATTCGGTGAAGATGAAGACGAAAAAGCTAACAAAGTACGAATACTCCAGCAACACATTTGAATCAGATGAACCCAAAACATTGTAAAACGTGTCCGGTTATCTTTCGGCTCAATTTATGATAACTAGCTTGATGTCCCTCACAGCAGGACGCAACCAATACCCAGCATTTATTGTTTGTTTATGGCGTTGCTGGGCAATTGATGTCCAATAGTTGGCCAATGTTTACCTTTCTCTAATGCTTAGCTTATCGCTACACTATCATGCCGTTTCCGAAAAAAATACAAAGCACTCTGCATCAAATCGCATGTAGGTGAACAAGACTTTGTATTTTGGAACTGTGAAACCGCGTGAACAATCCTAAAGCCAAAGAGGCCTTATGTACCTGTGTCACTATCTAGTACTTTATGCCCCCCCCCCCCCCATCCCGAAGCTCATTTAAGCATGCCTAATTGACTCGGTTAATAAGAAAGACAGTCTTTGTATGTCATTTATGTTTTTATTACAACATTCCAACAAATAAAAGGGAAAAGTAAGTTTTGTATATTGTGAAAACCCAGTGTCCTTTCAAGCTGGATGATAACTGCATTGAGACATAGATGACGAACACTCCAGTATAAGTTGCTGTAACGTGTGCTTCACCAAGACGGGCTCCAGCTGTCTGCAGTTGGTCTAGGTTTCACACTTCTAACAGATTTCTGACTGTTATCGAATGTTTGCAAGCATGACATGTTGTCTCTTTCTTCCCCCTCCCCCCCCCCCCTTTTTTTTTAAACGAAGAAAAGACAAAAGTACACATATTTAAAGGCACAGTAGATCCACGTTTTTTTTAGGGAGATAAAGCTCTGTCAACGCGCTAATTCAGGTGCGCCCAATACACACTCACGTGCTCCCAAAACTCACTCACGTGTGCCCAATACACACTCACGTGCTCCCAATACACACTCATGTGCTCCCAATACACACTCACGTGCTCCCAAAACTCACTCACGTGCAACCAATACACACTCACGTGCTCCCAATACACACTCATGTGCTCCCAATACACACTCACGTGCTCCCAAAACTCACTCACGTGCGCCCAATACACACTCACGTGCTCCCAATACACACTCATGTACTCCCAATACACACTCACGTGCTCCCAGTACACACTCACGTGCGCCCAATACACACTCACGTGCTCCCATTACACTCTCAAGTGCGACCAATACACACTCACGTGCTCAAATTACACTCTCAAGTGCGACCAATACACACTCACGTGCTCCCATTACACTCTCAAGTGCGACCAATACACACTAACGTGCGCCCAATACACACACACGTGCCCCAATACACACTCAGGTGCGTCCTACACACTCAAATGCGCCAAATACACACTCACGTGCGCCCAATACACACTCATGTGTGCACGCACACACACGAGCATACATACGCACACAAGCACGCACTCACCAATTACATAAGTGAAAAGAAATTGACATATTTATTGCATGGTTAGAATCGACACAGTAACCAGGACATGGCCGTCCTAACACATGAACCCGCTGGGTAACTGCCCGGGGCCTCCCACAAGCACAGAGACGCAGGCTGATCGGGGTATTCCAAGTAAGTTGCTATAAAAACGGATTTCATTCTTGCTTGGCTGTCGTGGTTTGTCCAGGGGCCCCACAGTGCTAGTAAGACGGTACTGGCCCTGCAATAGTAACAAATGGGATGGGTGTCCCACGACAGATAACAAAGTGCAGGACGATCGAACGATCTCAAAGAGCACCGACTGTGAAGACATCTACGTTGTCCTCACTTATTAGGACCACATCTCCTGACGTGAGTAACAGCAATGAAACATCTTTGTGCTAAGGCACTTTGACTTTCCTTCTGCGCCGGTCCACAGCTCACATCCTTTATAGACCTGCTGCTCTCTCCACCTCTGCCTTTTGTGCCAGTAAAGCATAGGCTTTCCTCCAACCGTCGACCTGTTTGGTTTCGGAGTCACTAGTGGGGAAGTGAGGGAAAGAATTGATCTCTGTGCTCAACTTTTTCCGCATGCTTTCAGACACTGTTACAATTACATGTGTATGCATCTTGTTCTCTAGCCACCGGAGAGCTGCAGTTACCGCCTCCAGCTCCATTTTGCTAGATGTTGTGGTGTCATATGCTAGGCTGTTTTGCCCTAAAGATTTTCCATTCGCTTCCGCTACGAACCCCTAGGCACTTCTCTTTCCTCTCAACATCAAACCATCTTTATAGATCACCTGGGCGTGAATTGTCGTGAATCAGCTGTTGGATTTCACCACATTAGCATCCGCTGGTCACTCTCTGTGTACCCAGCCTAATGTGATCATAACCCGTCACAGATCACACTTTTCCTCTGGTACTCAGACCCACTCCCCCCCAATGTTCTCCAGCATGCATACTTTTCTGATTATGTCTTTTGCTTGAGCCATAGACGATTTTCCCCTTTTCAGCCTCTGACCCTTGCCTGCAGCCTAAGTTTCATACAGAGAGTGTTCCTTTTCTGCAGCTACGCTGAGGTATAACCTAGCCTACAGCCCAATTGGGGTGTCTCTTTTACAACTAAGGATCAGCCTCATAGTTTCATTCTGTATGCGCTCCAGTTTCTCTAGCTGACTTTTCGAGACAGTGAGTAACCCCAATCCATAATTAATCACTGAGATAATTAAGAACTGGTAAAGTGTGAACAGCATTCTCTGCTCCATGTCCATCGCTGCCATAATCTTCAGTGCATTAGATCTTTCTGAGCCCTTGTCACAACCCTCTCTATGTGATCCCTGAAAGACAAACTTCTGTCAAAGGTGATTACCAGGTACCGCAGTCTGCTGTCTCTTTTGATTTCCCTGCTATTTATTTTGAGTCTGGAAACATCAACTCTAATAATCCTGTTGTCCACTGTACTCCACGTATTACACATGTATTTTTCTAATACCCGTCTACGTCAGCTATTTATGTTACGCACTAGTTTTTTTTTAACCTAAAGAATTTCAGCCAAACAACTTCTGTAGGTTGCCTCACTGTGTGCTGCATCCATAATGAGAGTCGTTTCTTCATTTCTTCACAACAGTGATTATGTTTCGCAATTTTAGTTCTTCTACTCTATGCAGTCGTCATTTAATGAATGCTTATACTGTTATATTAGTTCAATGATTTTGTTTTCGAAGTTTCTCAACAACAATGTCGGTTCGACGTTCCAGTTAATTAATTATTGATACTTAATTTTAATTATTCTATTCTATGCGGGAATCTGTTGATACAATTTTCTATACATATTTTCAGTTTTTGTATCTGTTGCCAATGATCTTGCTCCATCCTTCAATGCTGAATTGGCTTTCTAGTTACTTTTTTTTTTTTTAAACTAGACTTAAGGTCTCACTTCTTCTTCATCATTCCAAGCCCTTGAGGTTCATTGCTGCAGATATTAACCCCCTCCATTCATCTCCCTGGTTGGTCCTCTCTTTCCAGTTGGTGACACTAAGTGTTTTCAGGTCTGTCTGGATATTATCTTCTTCTAATCGTCTCCTTGGTCTCCCTCGTGGTCTACGACCATTCATTTCCCTGGTGTATACAGTTTTTACTTCTGTCTTTTTTTAATGCCAACAAGACCAGCGAATCAGCTCATTCAACATACTTTTCTGAACTGCAGGATCTGTAGGCGACCAAGCGCCCACTGCCTGACAATCCGCTGTTTTTTCCCAACTAACAATTCATGAAAAAACATTTCATATCATCATGTACTATTT